TCTGACTTCTGTCTCCTCTTTCGTGGGGGAGATGAGATAGACTGTTCTCCATTACTAAAAGTAATATAAGGAACTGTTAGTAAATGGAGAGTTAATACCCCTTTAACCTATAAATATATATATACACACACACAATATAAATGAAATATATATGGAATCCTACTCACCTGGATTCTCCTGAACAGGGTAAAGGATTCCTACTAGCAGAGCTCATAATGGGCTAACTACAATAAAGAATTTAAAAATAATTCAAAGTAATTCTCTTAGAATATACAAGTAAACTGTCACAATAAAGGGATAAAATTTTATCAGAAATACACAAACCTGTGGCAAAGAATAGAAAGATCCCAGAGTCTTAAATTCTCTTCTAGATAATCCAATGCAAGTTGTCTAATAACTGACTCCACAACAACCTCCTTTGAGTTCCAGGTACTTTTAAATAGTTTCTGCTCATTTACTAACCTGTTTCTGGCGTCTTCTGTCAATTACCTGTAATTTTCGGTTTTGCCCACAGTAAAGATGGCCGCCGCGACCTCGCGACCTTTACCCAGACTGCATTCTGGCGCCAAGCGAACCGAGCGCATTGCGCATGTGCGGGCGTCCCCTCCAAGCTCCCAACCAGGGAGAACTGAGGACGAAAGCCAGGGATCCCAGCTGCAAACAGGATGACTCCCAAAGCTCTCAGGCAGCCCAGGATTATACAGGTAACAATAAAACCCGGGTAAAGGAAGAAGAAATAGGAAGGAGATAGTGGGAATCACTTTACACCTGTATGTACACAATAGTACACTGTAAAGTATATAGAGAAAGAAGTAAAATACTTAAAGAGATAGAGACAAGAGAAAAAAAAAATATAGAGGGAGCTAAAGAGCTCCCTTCCTAAAGGCTGTAAGGACAGGAAAAAGACTGAGGGTCTCTTCTCTGGATCCTCCTTTTATATAAGAATTTGCTTAATCCTGTCCTATTGGCTGTAAGGGGAGGAGCTAACCCATGTGTATATGCTGCCATGATTAGCCAGGAAATATATATATATATATATATATATATACGCGGCGTGTGCTTGTGCTTTAGGGTGCTCACCCTAATGCAATAGGCTGCGCACGCCTATGTGAAAGAGGTGAATTACGGTTGAACAGACATATAGCGCAAATTCCAGTTTTTGTTTACATTTTGTTTTGATCATAATGTGTACTATTGACTTGGTCCTGAAGGGGTTAACATAATGATACTCACACATACAGTGTTGGAAACACACATATTTACCCTGATGGTATAGTTGTGATAATGTGATGTAACTCCTTCCCTGCTCCAATATGATGTGTAGTGTAACTTCACATAGTAATGGAGCAAGGAAGAGTGTGCTGTGTGCTATGTGCTGTCAGGTGTTACAGCACACTATTACTCAGCTATCTATGCAGCATAAGATCAACCTTCACTAACCCACACTCAACATGTGAAGAGGAAGGGCAACTACTTTATAGTACCACAGACAAAGAACACAATGCGCCTACCCTTGGATTGCCCAACATGCCAGATCATAAATTCATCATAAGTCTGGATAGGTTCTGTTATTATATAAAGCTAAATCTACCAGACCTGCCTTTTTTAGGTGTTGTCATATGGTAATATCATACTGGCTGGTCCTATATCATGGCGGTTGTCCTTAAAATGTCTGTTTTGAAGGCGATCTAACACCACAATATCTCTTTTATAATTTCTGCAGAATCTTTCAACTGATAGTTCTTGATATGTACAGTATCTAATCATACTGTGTTTCTGCTATGTCTGCCTTATTATTGAATTGCCACTTTTCAATAGGGCTGGGTTTACTACTTTTAACATAAACATATAGAAACATAGAAACATAGAATGTGACGGCAGATAAGAACCATTCGGCCCATCTAGTCTGCCCAATTTTCTAAATACTTTCATTAGTCCCTGTCTTATCTTATAGTTAGGATAGCCTTATGCCTATCCCACGCATGCTTAAACTCCTTTACTGTGTTAACCTCTACCACTTCAGCTGGAAGGCTATTCCATGCATCCACTACCCTCTCAGTAAAGTAATACTTCCTGATATTATTTTTAAACCTTTGTCCCTCTAATTTAAGACTATGTCCTCTTGTTGTGGTAGTTTTTCTTCTTTAAAATATAGTCTCCTCCTTTATTGTGTTGATTCCCTTTATATATTTAAATGTTTCTATCATATCCCCCCTGTCTCGTCTTTCCTCCAAGCTATACATGTTAAGATCCTTTAACCTTTCCTGGTAAGTTTTATCCCGCAATCCATTAACCAGTTTAGTAGCCCTTCTCTGAACCCTCTCTAAGGTATCAATATCCTTCTGAAGATACGGTCTCCAGTACTGTGTACAATACTCCAAGTGAGGTCTCACCAGTGTTCTGTACAATGGCATGAGCACTTCCCTCTTTCTACTGCTAATACCTCTCCTTATACAACCAAGCATTCTGCTAGCATTTCCTGCTGCTCTATTACATTGTCTGCCTACCTTTAAGTCATCAGAAATAATCACCCCTAAATCCCTTTCCTCATATGTTGAGGTTAGTACTTGTAACGGATTGACTAGGTACCCGACTGGGTACCTCAGTTAAAGGATGCTCCTAGCGTTTCCTGAGGACTCCAAGCACTCTGGCAGACACCACAATCACCGAACCGGAGAAGCATATGAGTATTTTTAAGCATATGAATGTTGTATACAGCCGAATAGGAAAAACCATGCGAATAGGTTTACACTCCTAGCAGTCAAACTGGAACAGCATACAATAAATCCTCCCCCAATAATGAGACGACACTTCACTTTGAGGGTTAAGCAGGAACTCTCCTGTAATGGCCACACACTGGCTGGCAAGGGGACATCCCATAGGGTGGGACACAGTACAACCAATCGTTTACAGGAGAACCGTAAAACACACCCAGCACAAACAAACATCCCTTCCCTCTGCCTGTGATATAATTACTGAACACAATGGGTTAGTGTAATTTATCACAGGCAGGAAAAATACACTTTTTATACATACACTGTAACTTTAAAAATATGCATCATATTCACATAAAATATACATATTCAGAATCAGCATACTTTAAATATAAACATAACCAAAATTCAGCCAATTCCATCCAGGGGTTAAAAAGTTAAGGAACAGTCCTATTTGACCAAATGCACCATGGCTTTTCTGCCCAAAACCAGTTCCACAGAGTCTTCTATCCTGGAGATAATTGGGAAGTAATCCAATTATCTCCCAGGACAGAGGCAAAACTCCATTAGCCACATGGCAGACAAAGGACAATAAAAGACATAAAAATACATACTGTTACATTTATCACATAGAACATACACATTCTACCTATCCCCAGATAGCTTAGATCTGAGCGCACATTATTACCGGATGGTGCTCAGATCACATACATACAGTTCAATCGCCATGGAGCCAAAGTCTTTCCTACAGTCTTTCAGTATACGGCTGGGCTCCATGTCATAGCTATCTGGGGTAGCATGGCTTTAACAGTCCGCAGAAAGGTACGAATAAACCTTTCTGCAGGTAAAATACAAGTTTAAAATGCAGGACCATAGTCTAAAGGGAGCAGGCGAGCAACCAGGCCTCTCCAGTGGACAGTGGCGAGGTTGGTTCCGCCACAGGACTCTATCAAATATTCTGTACTCTGCCCTAGGATTTTTACGTCCAAGATGCATTATCTTGTACTTATCCACATTAAATGTCAGTTGCCACAATTCTGACCATTTTTCTAGTTTACCTAAATCATTTGCCATTTGGCTTATCCCTCCTGGAACATCAAACCTGTTACATATCTTAGTATCATCAGCAAAAATACATACCTTACCATCAAGACCTTCTGCAATATCACTAATAAAAATATTAAAGAGAATGGGTCCAAGTACAGATCCCTGAGGTACCCCACTGGTGAAAAGTCCAAGCTTCGATGGTCATCCTATTTAATTTACTGTGTGTTTTTTACCGCTATTCACTGTTCGGCTGTTGTCATGCATTTACTGATAACTGTATCTTGTCTTACTATTATAGTGTTTTGACATAGTCTAGTAAAAAAAAAAAAAAAAATAGCTCTGCTACTAACTTGCTCCCTGTATATTGAAATTAACACATAGTTTGTATTTTCAAGGATGTCAAATATTTATTTTTGGTTTGAAGGTTAATTTTCTCCCATTCCTACAGTACACAGTTTCTGTGTACATTCTGAAGTGAACTCTGACTAGATGGATTTCCTTGTCATAACTTAACATTTTACTTATATAGAGTTAGTGATATAGTGATTAATTTCTTAAGCTGGCTATCATGACCTATTTCTCCTGCTGTTTTGTTTGGGCTAACTTTCAGGTCGATATAATTAAGGGCGATTGTCTAACCCAGGAGTGGATGAGTGTTGGATTTCAAGGTGGTTTTGCCGTTGTAAAAGCAGTCTGGTCTTGGTGGTGGTTGGGTTCTGTGGCATCTGAGACCCTGTCATTTACATAGCCAACATGTTTTGTTCTCTGCTTACACTGAAACATGGTTTTCACTATTCCTCAGCTGTTGGCAGGATAGCACGATTTTGATGCAAGATACGGAAAGTATCCATCCATGTAATATAAAAAAATAGAGACATTTATTGAAGATACAAGAAACATTGTACATAGGACAATGATGACTCAGTGCCCTTCAAAGCAGGCACATTGTTATCTCACACAGTTTTCCCAGCATTTCTTCCACTGTTCAAAACACTCTGCAAAATCCTTTGTTGGAATCACAATCAGCTCCCTTGTTGTATTAACCTGAATCTCATTAACGGTCTAGTAAATATGAGATTTCCATTGTGGTCAGAATTCTGTCATTTTCACTATTTGGACAAAATCCAGTCTTTAGTGAATAACCTTGAATGTGTAGCTAGCTGTGCAATGCCTAATATGCATAGACTGCTTTTACACAGCATATGGTTATATGGAATACAGACATAACTGACTTTTTTACTTTATCCTGATTTTGCAAGCTCCTGTTAGATATTCTGGTAATCATTGACTCTTCTTTGTTTGGCATTATTGGTAAATAGTTAAAGGGGAGTCTGAATTTTGCAGAGTACCAATCTATATAAGTGAGAGATAAAAATTCTTATTTTGCACACTTGCCTAAAGATTGTATTGACTCCGAGTATTATACCCACTGAGACTCATTCTATGCACCCTTCTATTTAGAAGGATGACACTTGCAGTTTTAATATTAGTGAGCACACAGCTGCTCTTCTCTAAAGCAGCTCCCACACAGTCTCCAGAACCTCCGCTGGCCTCCATCCCTTGCAACGACCCAGGAGCAGAGGCTGCTGCAGATTTATCGCTGCGAGAGCTAAATGCAGACCGCAGAGAGGGCTTTGTCTTAGGACTAAAACGCATTACCAATGCGCAGGAACAATTTCAGGTAAAAATGTTTCACTTGTGGAAATTAATGTTAACAAATATAAAAATAAATCTCTCAAAATATCAAATAGGTAGTGGAAAACATATTTTTTTATTATTGGTTTTATTTTTGTAAGTGAGCATGGAATTTGTCATTTGGTCTTGCAAAATTATGAACTTTTAGATTATACCGCTAATGTTTTTCTTCTTCAAGATGAACTGAAATATTCTTTTTTTTTTTAAATAAATTTTTTGTTACATATTGTATGTATTGTATAGCATGTACCTCCAATATTTAAAAAAAAATAAAAAAAATCAAATCTGATCATCGATGCTGCTTTCTGTAAATCAATTCACATTTCCCTGTTTGTCAGTCTCTTGCCATATGTCTACATTTTGGATCAACTAATGAGAGGAGGTTTGGGACTTGTAGCAAACAAAGATTGTCAAATGTTACGAAAACCTGTTTGCCAATAAAAAGATAACAATGTAATTGTGTTTGATTTAACACTTACCTAATGCCACTTACCGTACATGTGTTTCTATGAAGCACTTGGAAATAATGATGAAAATACATTTCTGTACTATGGTTCGGTAGCACAGTAACTAGAACAAACATAAACAATATTAAAATTTGTTTTGCAGGAAAATGTTGGTTCTGTGTATTATCTGGCGCTGGATGTGCTCGAAACACAATGCCATGTATTGAGCAGAGAAAACTGGAAGGACTGTCAGCCTAAACGGCCATATGAAGCTGTAAGTACATGTAGCTGGACGATTTTCTAGTTCCCAAACCAGTCTCTGTGGCCCATCAACAATCCAGGATTTATGTATTTCCCTTTTTTATTCCAATGGAGATACTGACAAAACCTGGACTGTTTGTGGACCAAGAGGACTGGTTTGGGAACCACTGTTCTAGTCTATGTTTCAATGTCTTCAAATGGAATGCTAATTGTATGCATATATACATAAGTAGCAATTGATCTGATCAAATAGATCTACATATTCACTTTAACTTAACATTTTCTGCATGGTTTTAGATGCTTAGTTTAAACTTTCTGGTGAAATACATGCTGTATACTGAAAACTGCATGACATTTTTGCTAGATTTAAAGGGATATTATAGGCAATAAAACAACTTCAGCTTTATGAAGCCATTTTAGTGTATAAATCATGACCCCGCAGTCTCACTACTCAATTCTCTGCAATTCAGAAGTTAAATCAGTTCTGTTTATATAGCCCTAGGGGCACCTTCCCTGACTTTAACTCACACAGCCTGCATGAAACAAATTATTTAAATTTCAATCAGATTTTAATGTGCTGTAGAAGTTGTTCTCTCCTGCAGTGTTAATCGAACTTAATTGAATCACATATAGTAGGCTCATGCAGGCTGTAGCAGGTTATCAACAGAGCTGAAGATAATAAATTCTAAATTAAATACAATGTGCAATAAAGAATTTTAAAACAATGTCTAGGGAATGATCCTATTGTGGCTAGGTAAAAGGCAATTGATAAATTACATACAGGAGTGTTTATTCAATAAACAGCTAAATTATGATTTCTTTCCCATAATTGATAACCAGCATTTTGTGAATTCTGTTTTCTATAAAGCATAATTAACCATTTAGGCAATACATTCCATGCATGCAATTTGCAGATTCAATAGGAAAGTCATATAGACAGCACAAGTAAAGGATATATAAAAATGTGTTACCTCTTTATAACATTTTCCATATTTACACTTTAAGCAATTATTTATTTTACCTTTAAGGTTCATGGGGAATGCAAGGTGATATTTCACATTAATAAACCGATGCGAATTGTACACCTCTACAGCTATGATTGTACTTTGAAACCAGGTATGTAATTAACTAATACTAGCATGAAATCTTCAAAAGCTAATAGAAATTTGCCTAGAATTACTGTGTATAATGCATTTGTATCTCAAAACATGTAAGGTTATTTACTAAAGGGAGATTTCAAAGTGAATAAAATTTAAGGCCAGAGTAGCTGAACTTAAAGCATAGCTAAGTTAGAGAATTTTTTTTACAATTTAACCCCTTAAGGACACATGACATGTGTGACATGTCATGATTCCTTTTTATTCCAGAAGTTTGGTCCTTAAGGGGTTAAAGGGACACCCAGACCACTTCAGCTCATTGAAGAGGTCTGGGTGCAATCTCCTGCCCCACTTAGTCCTGCAATGTAAAACATTCTGGGAGCTTACAGGACTCTGGGTGGCCTAACTGATGCCCTCATGCCTCAATGGTTTTCTATTAGAAGGGCCTTAATGCGCTCACAGTGTTCGCCACGCATGTGCATTAGGTTTCCTCGTCAGATGAGGTCGGATGAGGCAGAGCATCAACCCAGCACCTAGGGAGGTTGGCGCTGGAACAAGGTAAGTAAAAAAAGTTCTTATTTTAACTCATATTGTACAGCAAGGGGGACAGCGAGGGAGGGGTGGACCAGAGTACAACTTTGTATTCCAAAACTATAGAATCCCTTTAACTATTTTGACCTTAAATTTTAAAGTCACTTTGAATTCTCGCTTTTTCTAATAACCATTATAATAGTATACAAATTCATGTAAGTTAAAGATAAAGCAATGTGAACAGGTTTATTCGACTTTATTGGAGGCTGAGCTTCCAATACAATGACTTCTAATAGACTTGTGATTTGGTTTCAAACAAATTGCAGTTTGTCCAAATTTTGGGCAAATAGAGGTTCTTTAGAATTCATTGACTCTGTATGCCCAATATGGCTGAATAACAATATGACAAAACAACCGAAACCAACAAAGGATGAACAGTTTTGTGTGCTATGCGATTCGGAAATCCGTCCATGGTGCCCCCAAAAAAGAGATAATTGTTAGGGAACAGCCACTAAATGTTGATTTTATTTCTTTCTTTATTTTTAATCTATAATGGGGGGAGCACCAATAAATCTATAAGGACCGATAAATCTTAGGGTTTGCATAAACCTTTAAAATGTGGGCCAAAGTAGCCAAATATCAGAAAAGTCAATTCTGTTTTCAGTTTGGCTATTTTGGCCTTAAATTCGAACTTTACTTTGAATTCTCTTTAAATGCCTGCAAATTCTCATTTTAGTGAATAACTCTGCAAAAGATGACTCATTAATATAATTATTGTGCTGTGTTAGAAGTTGTGGGACTCACTTTTGTGCAATGCAACACATGTTTTTGTAACTTGTTTTCTTTGTACACAAATACAGTTACACCACCTTTCATCGGCTGTCCTGGATGTCCTATTGCCAGACCTTTGAATGACACAAAATTTCAGGATATTGCAAAGCTTGGCCTAGAAAAATTCAACAATAACAGCAACAGCTTCAAGTATTTTATACTGGAACAAATCACAAAGGGGGCAGTACAGGTAAGAAAAGCTTGTTTTTCTAAACAAATGCTGCCTAGGTCTTTATTTAACAGATCACATATATGAAAAAAAAAAAATAATAATAATAATTAAATAAAAATATATATATATACATTATTTTTCTAGAGAGTTGCAAAGAGAATGTGAGTATAAAAGCTACATTGACAGTATAAACATGGCCTTATTTAGGCTGAACATTCCAGCTCTATAAATGTTGCTCAAACACCTCTGCCACTACCATCGACCAGAAATTCTTATAGGATTCCTATAGACTGAGCTTCTCTATTTTCATAAATGCCCTAACCCATCTAAACAGACTTTTCTAAAGTTTCAGTATTTAAAAGAACACTATTGGCACCCAGACCACTTCATCTCATTAGTGGTCTTGGTGCAGTGTCTCTGTCCTACTTAGTCCTGTAATGATCAGACAGCTGCTAGAGGCACTTCCTGGTGGTTAAGTGTCTTTTGGTCGCTTAACTTATGCTGGATGTCCTCACGAATGAGGTCATCAAGTGCCCGTAATATACCCATAGGGAAGCATTGTAGCAATACTTTCCTATGGGGAATGCACTTAGTTGCTATGCAGTCATTAGAAAGGGGATGGGGCCTGTGAAATTACACGGGCTCAAATTAATTAAATAAGACAAGTAGACATGCTATTGTCCACCCCTCCCCTCAAAGAGTGCCATTGCACTTTTTTTTTTTTTATACGATAGCAACACCCAATAACAATAAATGGCCCTACCTACCCCATCGCCCTATCACAGTAAGGGAGGAAATACAACTGTAAAGTAAAAGTTATACATACCTATCAGAAGTCTTCTTTTTTTCAAATTCTTCTTATCTTTATCTCCCCAAAAGGCCAAATAAAACTGTGTATTTATATATATATATATATACATTTGAAAAAGGACAGTGTGAACGTGGAAGAATACAAGGAAAATATAGTACTGCAATGCTCTATGGTGTATGTCTATAATTTCTAAAGGGAATTTGCAAATAGTCCATTTTCCAAAGGGAAATAATGTAAGATGTGTAAGCTTTGTGTAATTATGGTGTTTATTAGTGTTTTGTCATGCAATCAATACAAATAAACTATAACTGTAACCTCATAGAATAAGGAAATAAAACACAAAGTGCAAGAGGTACCTAAAGTAGTTTTCTCTTTTACAGCTGGCCATACATTTTATTTTTTTAAATTGTAATAATTATCTGCAGTAAGTGCTCCTGTGGGTGAGCCACTACTGCTCTTGCACTAGTGATGGTTTAATTATTTATCTCCAGATATCATACCTTAAATCAAGTAACAGGTGTACATTGAAATATTAGAGAGGTCTGTCAGTAACCTTTTTTTTTTTTTTTCTGTTTGTGTATATATGCAAAAATAAAGTTTTTAATTCAACAATTTTTTGGTTATGATTTTGAAAGGTGATTGCAGGAGCAGCCTACCATGTGGAATTTACAATTAAGGAGTCTTCCTGTAATAAAACATCTGGAGACCTTACTGTCTGCCCACCTGTGAGCTGCAAAATAGCAGTAAGTGTAAAATGTTTGTTTCTTTGTTCCAGTTAGCAGATATATGCACTTTTCAAGTTTTTATTATAATGGCATTCTGTTGGGAGGGGATGGTTCACGTATGAATTTACAGTATTTTTTGTATCTGTGCGGAAATAGAATGTTTAAGTTTAATGATTTCTGTTTATGATTCAATTTCAGGCCTCCCAACCATCCAGATTTTATAGCCCCATGTGAAAGCCTTACAGTACTTACTTATTCCTATATTTAATAGATAATTGTGAGGTGTGAAAAATAAAATTAAATGTAAAAATTCATTCCACTTTGTCTTGCATCTTGGAACCTCCATCTTAACTCCTTAGCCATCATTACAAGCTCTGTCCTTTACACCTAGCAGTCAGGACAGAGAAGAGGAGGAATAAACAACATATCTGTCTATTCCATATTTGCAATATGTGCCAGAACTATAATTTCTAAATCTTTAATATAAATTTAAAAGAAAGGGTAACAAAGTTCTAAGTGAATTTCACATTTAAAGGGACACTGTAGTCACCAGAACAACTACAGCTTATTGTAGTTGTTCTGGTGTCTATAACCTGTAAATGCAGGCCTTTTGCTTTAAACACTGCCTTTGCATAAAAAAGGCAGTGTTTACATTACAGCCTCGGAACATCTCTAGTGGCCACTCCTCAGACGACCACTAGAGGTTAGGGATGTGCATGGGCAAGAAATTTGGTTCAGTTCGGCACTTCCGAAATGCGTGACTTCATCAATTTGGGACTCCGGTAATTCGCACCTTGGTTTAGTTTGGGACTTTGGTAATTCCTTAACCCTAACCCCTAACCCTACCAATAACCCCTAACCCTAACAACCAAAACCACTTACACATCTAGGGTTAGGGGAAGGGTTAAGGTTAGGGGTAAGGGTAGGGCTAAGGTTAGGGGTATGGTTAAGGTTAGGGGTAGGGTTAGGGTTAGATTCCTATCATCATTCTCGTAATTTTCCATCCCATTTTTGTTTTGCCACTTTTCAGAATCCGAAGCACTTCAACATTCCAAAGCATCTGAATTGCCAAAATTCGGAGCGAAACTATTTGCACATGTCTACTAGAGAAAATATATATAGAAGACAGTAGATTACCTCTGGGTACCAATGACATGGTCCAGTTGTGACCCACTTTCCAGTGCACCAAAAAGAGACTCCAGGGATCTCAAAGGGGCCTAACCCCAAGGATAATATATAAAAAACAAAAGAATACACAATATGCTTATCGCAATGTCAAGGACAAATGTGACTCGCTGTGCTACCTGGAAATATAGACTAGTTTAATGATAATTAAATATTAGCTATATACACATGAATTCTTATAATAAAGATATCAAACTAATCTCCATTCGATAAGGACTAGAGAGTGAAAATAATAATAAAAAGATTCAAAATTGCTATCACTATCCTAAATAGTGTAAAGGTATTATAGAAATATTTTCAGCGTGGGATGTCTATCTGGAGATTTATTGGGTCTGGCTCTATAGGTATCCGCAACACTATCTGTGTAGTATCCAGTACACTAAACAAAAAAAAAAATATATATATATATATATATATATATATTGATATAATAGTATAATACTCCTTGACTAAAAAGAAAGACTCAAATTACAGAGAAAATACCATGTTAAAGAGATATATAAAATGTGGTATATAATATCAACCTATTATGGACTGGCAATATGTGTCCTAAATGGAAGAGACTCAAGAGAAAAAAACAGACCAATAAAGGTAAAAAAATCAATTGAAAAGGCTTATCTCTTAATAGATGTAGTTAGAAATTAGTCAGGGAAATACTATCCATAGAAACTATGATGCTTAGAATGCTCAATAGTATATCTATGGTTAAATAAATTGGAGTATAGGTCCGTCAGAATGTAAAGGGAGATAGAGGAGATAGATGTAAAGATAAACTGCTTGAAAATCTTGCAGTAAAAGTCATTTACAAAGCCTCGTTCTCTATTGTTCTAACTACACAGCAGATGGAGCAAAAAGGAATGAAATATAATCAAATTAAATAGAAACAAACACCCCCATGTGCGGCAGTAAACGCCTATTTTTTATTTTTTATTTTCTATGGGCACTTAACACTTGTCAATGCATCTAGTATGCCGCACATGGGGGTGTTTTTTTCTATTTAATTTGATGATATTTCATTCCTTTTTGCTCCATCTGCTGGAAGCTAATCCCGGGAGGGACACTGGCAGATCATTTTAAGAAACAATCTAGGCACAATAACCACTACAGCTCTCTATAGTGGTCTTGGTGCCAGGAGTTGCTGTGGCCCCCTCCTAGAATAAGTAGTCAAACCGTTTAAAAAGAATTTGATAACTTACTCAGGGTCTACCGGGATAGGGGCTGTAGTGTGTGTGTATGTGTGTGAGGGGTGCAGTGTGTGTGTGAGGGTCGAAATATGTGTATGGAGGGGTAGTGTGTGTGTGTGAGAGGGGTGCAGTGTATGTATGGGGTAGCAATTTGTATATTGGGAGCAGTGTGTTTGTGTGTAAAGCGTGCAGTGTGTGTATTGGGAGCAGTGTGTTTGTGTGTGAGTGGCGCAGTGTGTTTTTGTGTGAGGGGTGCTGTGTGTGTATGGGGGCAGTGTGTATTGGGGCTGTGTGTGTATTGGGGCTATGTAGTTAAGGGAGGCATTGTGTGTATTGTGGGCTATATGTGTATAAGGGGGCAGTGTGTGTATTGGGGGCTATGTGTGTTTATGGGTGGCAGTGTGTGTAGGGGGGCTGTGTGTGTAGGGGCTGTGTGTGTATGGGGGGACAGTGTGTGTATGGGGGGACAGTGTGTGTATGGGGGGACAGTGTGTGTATTGGGGCTATGTGTTAAGGGGGCATTGTGTGTATTGTGGGCTATATGTGTATAAGGGGGCAGTGTGTGTATTGGGGGCTATGTGTGTTTATGGGTGGCAGTGTGTGTAGGGGGGCTGTGTGTGTAGGGGCTGTGTGTGTAAGGGGGACAGTGTGTGTATGGGGGGACAGTGTGTGTATGGGGGGACAGTGTGTGTATGGGGGGACAGTGTGTGTAAGGGGAGGCAGTGTGTGTAAGGGGGTTGTGTGTGTTGAGGTACTGTATATTTGTGTGTGGTGCAGTTTGTTAAATAATAATGAAATAAATATAGATAATGTTCCCCCTCTCTTCTTACCTTTGTTGAGGGAGGGGGAGACATTGCTTTCTTTCCAGTCCCTGGCAGTTTTAGTGGGGGAGTGAACTCTAACCTGCAACTCAGGCTAGAGTTCACTCTCGCGAGAACAGAGTGTTGCCATGGTAACTGCACCAACGCTCCGTGCTTGCGAGAGGAGAACCCCCCCCCGGATCCGCCAATGAGTCAGTGCTGCACAATGGGCAACACTGACGTTCAGCGTCTCCACGCCCTGCATGGAGATGCTGAACTTTCCCCATAGAGATACATTGATTCAATTCATCATATGAGGAGATACAGATTGACCAGGGTGGTGTTTGGCTCTGCCCCCCCACCTCCTTGGCTGAAAGCATCAGAATTGACAATCTCCACCAATCCACTGTTTTCCTATGGGAAAGCAGTGTGATTGGCGGAGATAATGTGGTCGCCGTTCGTATAGTCGAACACGTGGCGTGGCCATCTTGTTTAGTCGAACGCGTCCAGCGGTGTTCGTGCCGTTGAGTGTCTGATTTTAGTTCCATGCGCTCGACGACAAAACACTGCTGGACTGGAATGGCACAAACGGAGTGCTGTTCGGTAGAAGTAATCTACCGAACCGGATACACTCACTGACTCTGTGCATGAATGGCTCCATTCAACTATTTGAACGTTACTTCAACTGTTGAAATAGACCGGCCGCACAGCGGAATTCTCTGGAACTATTTTGGGCATGAAGCCATGAGTGCGGTCAGTCAAAAAGAGACTTCCATGAAACATTTGAACCCCTACTCTGATCTGGTGATTTTTGGATATGTTGTTTGCCCAGATCAGGGATATCCAGGGCTGTAACAATTGTGGGGGCATGTTATGTTTCGGGGTACGTTCTGAACTTTGTGAAAAATGTGTTTTTTTTCTCCCTGGAGATAATTGAGTTACTTACAGTACTTTACTCAATTATCTCCCAAGCAGAGGGGAGGGATTGTGTGCTGTACATGGGAGTGTCACAAACTGTATGTTTGTTCTGATTAGTTTGTGTTCCTGTGTCCCATCAGGTCCAAGGGTGTTCCTCTGGCCTGAAGAATTGTATAAAAGCCAATCTGAACCATAAAACTTAGATCATCTGCACCTTCATGAAGTTTCAGCTCATGTTTGGGGGATTGGAGAACTACATACACTCTGGGGATTGCTATATCACAATAGTTCCCTGGGTATAATCACTAGCTCTTCTAAGAGCTGTTCCTGCTACGCTCTCTGGACTAGGAGAGGTCTACCCACTGGAAGTTGGATCCTGGTCTTGGGTCCAGGGTGGGTGGAGGACAGCGAGACCCCAACCAAGCTGCGGCGGTTAGTGGGGTTTACGGTGCTTATGGTACTCGCAAGTACTAGGAAGCAGCTATTGATGGAGGTACCTGTTCAGGATGCAAGGCAGTCCGTTACAATCTTAAACAGGTCAAATAAAGTATACAACAAAGAAAATCGTTCTCTATTAAGATCTACAAAAGAAATCATAGAATTGCATAATGGCACAGTTACTGGCACAGGCAAAGATAAGCCATCATCAAAAATATAGTTTTCTTATTATGTCTAAACCTCTGATCTGGACATCTATGGCTTGCCAAACCCATCTAGCCTCTCTTATTTCTCTAAAATAAGTTCTGAATTTTTTTCCCTTTTCTTGCAATAAATGTCTTGTTCATTTCTATCCTCTTTGCCCTACCTTTCTGTTCTAGGATCTTGTCCCTCCACAATCATACCATCCTCCTCTCCCTAATTTCTCCTATGTTCAGAGATCCCCAGATCAGTCTTTTCCAGAAACGTATTATATGAATTACTTACCCTGAATCTAAAAATATGTATAATCACATTATCTGTTGGTAAAGTTTTTTATACTTATATTATTAGTTCTGGGAATGCTGTCAGTTTCTTAATATTGATGGTACTGCCAATACTGATTTCACATTACTTCTCCCAACCCCATCTAGGAAACCGGCTACTGCAAAAGCCGCGGCATAGCACACTGGAGCGCACCAAACAACCCAAGTGTGACAATCACCTGCAACCTTTTTAAGGCAGAGGTATGGAAAAAATACAATTAATTTCATTTTGTGGCCTATAATTCTGGGATATTGAATATTCACACCAGATTAACGCATGGTATTTTATAATCTGACTGTTTTTAGTATAAATTTATTTAGAATTAGAATAGACATTTGTGAAGTGAAAAACAACATACAATATACTACATACACACGTGTGAATAACTTGTCCTCAATGTTCTCTCTCACACACACACACACTATGCAGCTGGCATAATTTGTTTCCCTTTGTATTCGCAGTCTGACCTTGCACTTGCATACACCTCCTGCCGGTTGCAGACCTAGTATATGGCTACCGTGAGCACTGGGCAGTTCAAAGTGTTGCTGCAAGTTACCATGGCAACATTTTGATACTATCACTCTGGAGCTTGTGAAAGGCATACCAGGTATGCATCCAGCATAGAGGCTCTACACACAGGACCATCAGGGATGGTCATGCAATACCAGTCAATGCAACCTGCAGTTTAGGTTTTGGCTCTGCTGGCAATACCAGTTAATTGAACTCTCAAATCTAGGTTTTGTGCACTGTGTTTTTAGTGAAAAGGTGAGCGAACAGAGGAGTGAGGTGTGTGGTCTGGGAGAGGAGATGTGAAGATTTTTGTTTTATTTTAAATGTAGTACACCAGGATTACATATTGTACCCTCTAGACCAGGGGTCTCCAACCCTCTGGCCCCGGATCAGTGCCGATCCGCAAGAACTTTCACCCAACTTTACCATCAGGTGTAAGGTTTTGCAGACTGGCAAATTGCCGCAAGATATTTCCCCGGGGCTATGATGTTACGATCTTATGATCTTACGATCATAGCACTGGGAAATGTGCCTCCCTCTCCCCTGCCGGTTCTGCAGGACCGGAGGGGAGATCAGATATCTCGCTCTCTGGCCCGCTCAGAGTGTACTGCTGGCAGCCGGAAGGGAAGGAGATAGGACCCGGGGGAGCTCTTACCTGAAGCTCCACTGGGATCTTCTCTCGCGTGCTCCGAGCATTGCTGCGGTTACCAATGGCAATGCTCTGAATCTCGCAAGAGTGAATTCCTGAGGCTACTATAGTTCACTCTCTCCACTGGGACAACTGCAGGAACTGCAGGGTATGTCCCCCCTCCAAGACAAAGGTAAGCAGGGAGGGGGGATATCAAAATAACATAATTTTTTTTAAAATAAATAAAAAAAAAAAAAAAATATATATATATATATATATATATATATATATATATTTACTAATCCACCCTCCATCCCCACAGACCCACAATCATTTTCCTTTATACACACACTGCCTTCCACACACGCACTGCCTTCCATACACACACACACAAACTTCACCCCTCTCTCACACACACACTGCATCTCTCACACATACCATTGGGTTTTATTTCTGGCTGACGCCGGTCCGCAAAATATTTCTCCTCTTTTCGCCGGTGCTTAAAGGTTGGAGAACACTGCTCTAGACTACCAATATTTAGCACCCTAAGAGTTCTTTTATTTATTTTGGATGTTATATTAAGAATGTCCCCTCAAAATGGTTACCCTATTGCACCCCCTGTCATTCAAAGAGTAAAAAAGACACCTTTAACTCATCCTATCAGCATTTTTTGAACTAACTAAAGACAGTGCTAACTAAAGTATCTGCTGACTACAGCTATACATACATTTTAAGAGTCACTGTAACCCTTTTGAGAGAAAGGAAATTGTATATAATAAGTAAAGGAATATCTGGAAATTTTCGTTCATCCTTACACACATACGTTCCACCACGCACACATTTTGCTGCCATTCTTCTTCTGTTGATAAGATCGTTTACTTGGTTTTTTTTTTTTAAATGTTTTATTTATTCAATATTCACTCAATACATATATATTTTATTTTTATGTTTGTCATGGTCTCATTTATCCTACAATAGTTGTGCAGTGCCCTTCGGGTCTTCGGACAATGAATTATTTTAAAGGATAATTAAAGGTTATCGACTAGAATAATTAACTAAAACCATTTCTAAAATAAACTTGCAACTGGATCTCTGTCTCCTAAATGCTATAAGCAGTGAATGACAAGGGTGAGACATTTGTAAGTAACATCCATCATACCTGAAGGGATCCATAGTGGCCTGTATTGAAGGGTCTGAAAACCGATATAAAGGTTCGGTATTCTCTCTTTTCCCTCCTCTGCATAAGAAGAATATTGCTAAGGTAGTTGGTTACTTAATTCATAAGAACATTAGCTTTTTCAGTATAGTCACCAAAGAGTTGCAATACTTTATGTGATCTGTAGACTTGGGATATATTTATGCTAGAAGAAGTTTAAAGTAGCCACAATTAAAAAAAAAAGATAAAATGTGGTTGTTTGCTATTCATAACCAGCAAGAGCAAGCTGAAAGACACATATAAATAATATGTAATGGCTATTTTACAGGATACTGTTGGTGAAGAGCAAACTCATCAGAATGGTCACACTGATCAACATCAACATGGAAAGAAAGGTGAAAAACATGATGGACACACTCATCATGAACACAATCACAAGCATGGCCGCAAACATGACCATAAGAATGGACATAAACATCATCATGATGGCCACAAGGATGGACATAAGCATGATCATGAGAGCAGCGAAAGCCATGAACATGACCACCAGCATCAGCACCACGAATGCCATCGCAAAGGTAGAACAATAGGCAAAATTACATATTTACCCTCTGGAGAAGACTCCACAGCCATTCCAGTAACTGAAGGAAAAGAAGGCACAAAACCTTTAAATGGTGCTAAGCCCAGCCTACCAGATGGACAAACACACCCTAGCATTGCTCGTCCAGGACTTATTCACATACCCAAGCCATATATTCGCCCTTTCCCTAAAAACCCCTCCACATCAGACCAATGCCCAGGGAAAGACAAATACAATGAACCACTTGTAGATCCAGTACCTGCTATTCCAGAAGTCCCAGCACCAATTCCTAAGTAATCACTTTACAACCATTACTCTTTTCCAAGTGCTTTGATTTTAAGCTGAAACGATTTAGTATTTGTAATATCAAAGTAAAATATAACTGAAACACAATCTTAACATCTCTCTCTACCAAAATTGTCTATACAAGTTTATTTTTATTTTTACATTTAATATGCAACAAACAAATATGTTTTGACATGAAATAAATCATATTCCCTAGCAAAGTTTTATTCTGTGCCTATGAATATCTGAAAAGAAACTGGGAGTATTGTGTCCATATCTTCCCTCTTCCCATTTAGTTAGCAAGTTTGAAACTGAGAGAGGGACTGGGGGAGAGGGGGGAGGCACAATACTCTGTATAAAACACAGATTATTTGTGAGGTGTTAGTGCAACCACTGTATTATGCATTAGCATACATCCCAATGTTAACAGGTTGGTGGGCCTTCTGGGGACATCACTACTGATGCAACATTTGTCAGAAAGTGGGAAATATCAGTCTGACGTCAAGCATGCCAGGATAACTGACAGCCTTTCTGTGTAGCATCGAACAGAGAAGACCATGCAGAGAGCGCTGCTGCAGTTCACTCTGAATGGTCTTAGTGCCCTCCCCAGAGCAGAGCATGTATAATGATGTGTTCATGCTGTGCTGCCTGGGGACAGTTTCCTGGTATCCCATGCAGGACACCAAGAGACTAAAATTAGGACCACAGGACAAGACCCTACAATGGGAACCTTCCCTCTGAAATTGGAACTGTTGGTAGGCCTAAGTTCAGGGGTCAAGTCCTGGGGATAAAAGTGTGGGAACTCTCCCCAAAAAAAAAAAAAAAAAATAGTATGTATGTTTATATATATGTATGTATGTATGTGTGTGTGTATGTGTGTGTGTATATATATATATATATATATATATACACACACACATACATACACACGCGTGCACACACACTCACACAGTGGTGTATTTTAATTTTATGCTGCCCTAGACATGACTATAGAGCACCCCCCTAATCTAAATTTACCAATCCTTCATGTCAAGGGTGCACCACTTCCTGATTAAGAACCCACCCCTTCCTCTTTAGACTCCACCTTTTCCTGCTCCTTTTAAAGAAATACTATAGAGCCAGGAAAACAAAGTTGTTTTCCTGGCACTATAATTCCGTATAGTGCCCCCCTCCTCTCATGTCCTCCCCTCCCCCACTCGACACTGAAGGGGTTAAAATCCTATGGGTATTTAGCAGATGCTGGATGTCCTCATGCACAGGGTGAGGACGTCCAGCATCAGTTAGGTGACTTTTGGTCACCTAACCACCCGAAAGTCACTCTAGTGGCTGTCTGATAGACAGCCACTAGACTTGGAGTTACCCCTCAGGTAATTATTGCAGTTTCTGAGAAGGTTTAAGGGGACTGGGACACTGCACCCAGACCACTTCAAGGAGCTGAAGTAGTCTGGGTGCCTATAGTGTCCCTTTAAGCACACTCTCTGACAGACACCCACACTGGCAGATACACACTGTAAGTAACACACACATACGTCACTGATTTGACACACACATTCACTGACACACACTCATTCATTGACAGAGAGACACACACTAATAGTCACACACACACTAAATGACAGACTCTCACTTATTTGACAGAAACTTACAATAACGTATGCACATACATGCAATTGCAAACATACACATGCATACACTAACAGAAGCACATACACTCACATACACACGTACAAACGCTAACAGACATAAATACACTCCTACACACACTGAGACAAACAGACATCCACAGACAGACATCCACAGACAGACATCCACACATCCAGACATCCACAGACAGACAGACAGACATCCAGACATCCACACATCCACAAACAGACATCCACAAACAGACATCCACACATCCACAAACAGACATCCACACATCCACATCCACATATCCACATCCACACATCCACAAACAGACATCCACAAACAGACATCCACAAACAGACATCCACAAACAGACATCCACAAACAGACATCCACAAACAGACATCCACAAACAGACATCCACAAACAGACATCCACAAACAGACATCCACAAACAGACATCCACAAACAGACATCCACACACAGACATCTACACACAGACATCCACAAACAGACATCTACACACAGACATCCACAAACAGACATCCACAAACAGACATACACACATCCACACACAGACATCCACAAACAGACATCCACATCCACACACAGACATCCACACACAGACATCCACACACAGACATCCACACACAGACATCCACACACAGACATCCACAAACAGACATCCACAAACAGACATCCACACATCCACAGACATCCACAGACATCCACAAACAGACATCCACACATCCACAAACAGACATCCACAAACAGACATCCACACATCCACAAACAGACATCCACAAACAGACATCCACACATCCACAAACAGACATCCACTAACAGACATCCACACATCCACTAACGGACATCCACAAACAGACATCCACACATCCACAAACAGACATCCACAGACAGACATCCACTAACAGACATCCACAAACAGACATCCACAAACAAACATCCACACATCCACAAACAAACATCCACAGACAGACATCCACTAACAGACATCCACAAACAGACATCCACACATCCACAAACAGACATCCACAAACAGACATCCACAAACAGACATCCACAAACAGACATCCACACATCCACAAACAAACATCCACAAATCCACAAACAGACATCCACAAATCCACACACAGACATCCACACACAGACATCCACATCCACACATCCACAAACAGAGATACAGACATCCACAAACAGACATCCACACATCCACAAATCCACAAACAGACATCCACAAACAGACATCCACACATCCACAAATCACAAACGACATCCACAAACAGACATCCACATATCCACAAACAGACATCCACACATCCACAAACAGACATCCACAAACAGACATCCACACATCCACATCCACAAACAGACATCCACACATCCACAAACAGACATCCACAATACACAGACATCCACACATCCACATCCACACATCCACAAACAGACATCCACAAACAGACATCCACAAACAGACATCCACAAATCCACAGACATCCACAAATCCACAAACAGACATCCACACATCCACACACAGACATCCCACCGAAACAAGACATCCACACGCATCCCTGACTGGTATCCGCATACAAAGCAGGCATCCACGGGCATGCACAGACAGACGTCCTGAAGACAGACATCCACACGAATGAAGACATCCACATCCACAGAAACAGACATCCACGCACACGGGCATCCACAGACAGACGTCACAGACGGGCATCCGGGAATGAACGCATCCACGAGACGGGCATCCACAAACAGACACATCCCACACGAACATCCACAGACGAATCCACAAACAGACATCCACTACAGACATCCACACACAGACATCCACACATCCACAAACAGACATCCACATCCACAAAACGAACATCCCCTGCACATCCACACATCCACAAATCCACAAACAGACATCCACAAATCCACAGACATCCACAAATCCACAAACAGACATCCACACATCCACACACAGACATCCACACACAGACATCCACACATCCACAAACAGACATCCACATCCACACATCCACACACAGACATCCACACACAGACATCCACACATCCACAAACAGACATCCACACATCCACAGACATCCACACATCCACAAACAGACATCCACACATCCACAAATCCACAAACAGACATCCACAAATCCACAAACAGACATCCACAAATCTACAGACATCCACAAATCCACAAACAGACATCCACACATCCACAAACAGACATCCACACATCCACAAACAGACATCCACACATCCACAAACAGACATCCACACATCCACAAACAGACATGCACACACAGACATCCACACATCCACAGACATCCACAAACAGACATCCACACATACACAAACAGACATCCACAAACAGACATCCACACATCCACAAACAGACATCCACAAACAGACATCCACACACAGACATCCACACATCCACATCCAGACATCCACAAATCCACAGACATCCACAAATACACAGACATCCACACATCCACAAACAGACATCCACAAACAGACATCCACACATCCACAAACAGACATCCACACATCCACAAACAGACATCCACACACAGACATCCACAAACAGACATCCACAGACACACATCCACTAAACGACATACATATATACAAATTAATAATATTTTTAACAAATTAACATTTCCCACCCACCCTGCATCCCTACCTTTCCCTGGGGCTGCAGTGAGGACGGCTCTCTCCCTGTCATACGCGGAGAGGGAGCTGTGTGCTCTCTGCTCCCTCTCGCCGCGCGGGATGTCTGCTGATGCTGGGAGCCGGGTTGATGACGTCATATTCCGGCTACCAGCATCAGCACACATCCCGCGCGGCGAGAGGCAGCAGAGAGCACACAGCTCCCTCTCCGCGTGTGACAGGGAGAGAGCCGTTCGCCGGGGGGCAATCCATCAGATGGCCCCCCATGACAGGGGGAAAACAGGGCATTTGGGGGCGGCATTTTTTGCCACCACCTGAGTGCCTGCAGGGGGAACGGCGTTCCTGCTGTGAAAAAAGTGCAGGAACGCCGTTCCCACGCGTTCCTGCAGGACTCGAGCCCTGATTACTGCCATAATATGCATTACAGGTCTCTGTAGTGGAAGAATAGTGCACTGTTGAGCTTTTTATGTTCAGACAGGTATTGTGCAATCAAAAGGTGTACAAAGTATATAAAGAGTTAAAGAGGGGCCAGCATGGACACGTTGGGTCATCGTTAAAGTGTGCATGGGAAAATCCCAAACCACTTGTTTACATCAATATCATACAACTGTGATGAGTGCTAAAGGACATTTTTATATTTGGCTAGCGTGATTAAGCTGCAGTTCCCACTGTGGGTTCATTTTAATGGTTACGTTTATGCTTTACTGGCATACCACTAATTGCAGAAATGTCTGCTGATAGCATTAGCGAATAGCTGCAGTTTACATATAAATCCTAATTGTGATGGCAATTACTGGCAGAGAAGAGTTATAATGACTTCCATAAAAAATAGTAGTTTTTTCAATTTGAAGGGTTTTTTTTATCAGACAAATATAGAAAAGTACAATGTGTTGAATCACAATAAAAGCAAAAGTAGTACATTGTATTGGGGTACTGAAAAGAAATGGGGAAAGGTATTAGCCAAGTTGTGCACAATTTATCGTTAACAAGTAATGCCAGTATCCGCTCGGATTTTGTTGGGTTGTAGAACATAAGTTCCTTACACGCAAAACATTAGGTTGATACAATGCATAGAGACAATAGTGTAAGCAGACCGTGTGGCAGTTAACTCAGAAACGTGTGGATACCTTTGTGGCTAATAAACATTTCCAGTGAACTTGTAGGTAAGTGTACAGAATGGCCAGTAAGCGGAGCTTAAATTTTTAACTTTTTTGACCCTTTATCTTTTGCAGGGTAATGTATGAAATGCTTAATTATCAACATACTATCTGGGGAAGGAAAAAAGAAAGGGGAATTGGGGGCCAATTCTCTACAGTCATTCCATTCCTGAATTACACCATTCATATCTCCTCTCCAAACAAAGGGCAGAGAGCAGAAGGATCCCAGTAGATCTCCTTGAGACTACGAGTCACCGTGCATTCCTTTGCATACCAATCTACTCATGG